TCCCCTCAGCAGTGTAATTTGTCAGTCAGCCTGTTCTGCTCCCCACTCTGTCTCTGGTGAATCCTCCCACCCTTCAGCACCTCTGGCCTACACCCCAGTTCTTGTGTGCATACATAAATCTTTAAAAAATAATAAAATGAAAGGAATTGCAAAGCAAACTAGAAACCCAGCACATCAACACCCACTGACTTCAGGGACAACCTCCCACTTTCCCAGGCAACACTCACTCCAGGTCACAGAGGTCACCCAAGCCACAGCTTCCTTCCAGCGCCTCACAGAGCTGCACCAGGTTTTTGGCTTGCAAGCCACAGTGTGTCAGGCTGCAGTGAAGAACCAGGCCTGCAGCACCTGCCCCGGAGGACAGAGGCAGCACCCCCCGCCCCCACCCCCACAGGCAGAGAGCCAGGCTTGCAGGAGGGGGCTGGCTGCATCTGGCTCTGAGACCCCAACACACATCACATGTTGTCACACACAGCAGAGAGGAGCCAGGTCAGAGCCACAGAGGAGGAGAGCAAGGTGGGAGGGAGCACCGGGGGAGGGGGGAGGCAGGAGGGGAGAGATGGGCCATGCCGGAAAGCTCCGGCAGTGAGCACAGGGGCAGCAGAGGCAGACGCAGAGAGTCGTGAGGGGGGAGACCTGAGGCGATGCCCCACCAGCTAGCGAGAGCCAGAAGGTTGCCAAAGGGAGCCCTGCAGGGGTCTTGCTGAAGCCCTAGCTTAGGACCCAGGGCCAGGAAGGAAGGGGTGGGTGCTCCCTATCCTCTCCACTCAGTGCTCCTCTGGAAGTCTGGGAGCCAAGGGGGTTGAGGGGTCCGGCAGGGAAGGTGGCAGGGGCGAGCCTCATCTGGGGTGGGCTGGGCAGGGGGGGTGAGAGACAGGAGGCCAGGCTGTGTGCTCGTGGGGTTGGGGTCTGGGCGAGGCTCTGTGAGAGAAGGGAGGAGGCAGGCCCTCATCCGGGACTTGCAGGCCGGCAGTGGAGTACCTGATTCTTCGGGAGCGCAGGGGTGGCTCTGAGGGCAGGGGGCTGTCAGCAGTCGTAGCTCTGGAGGGGACACCAAAACCAGGGGGTGCAAACACTTCCCCACTGTTTGAAAGCTCTCCCTCAGCCTCACACCCCAGCACCCCTCTTTCCACTAGGCTGCAGAGAGGCAAACGTGGGCTTCTGTGCCTTGCAGCTGAGTGACTGGGCCTAATCTCTTAACCTCTCACTGGGAAAATGTATGCGAATTGCCTTAGTTGGGTGCTTGGTGCATAGTAAGTGCTCAGTTAAATGCGGCGGCTCAGGTCATTAATCTCAGCAGCAACGGCAGCATCTTCATCGGTCTCTGTGCCAATCCAGTCTTCAATGGCTCAGACGCTACCAAAGAGACTGGAGGGGCAGCTGAGGAACAACCAGCTGAGTCTGTGTGCATGTGCGGACTGGGGCAATCCAGGAAGGCAGCCTGGAGGAGGCAAACACCTCCTCCTTGTGCCAAAAGGAAACAACAACAGTGATCAAAATTACAGTTAGGGGCCAGGTGGCTCTTTGGGTTTGGACTGAAGGACCTTGTCCCCTAGGGTTCCCCCCTCAGGGAGACACCCATATCCTGCATTGCAGGGCTCTACAGGGCAAAGTGGAGGCACTGTGGCCTTTGACCCTTCTCCTTAGGCTGCATCTGCTGCCAAGCCTGCTGGCTTCCTGCACCTTCATGCACGGTCCCTGGCAGTTGAATGGCACCATCTCCCAGGTGAGGCTGGGCAGGGGAGGGCTCTCGTGGAGGGCCAGCCCTACCTTTTCTGGGTCCCCTCCTGTTCCTCCGGCTCTGGGGAAAACATGAAGACTGCGGTTTTTTGCAGCAGGCTGTGGGGAGAAAGAAAGAGGGGGCAGGTGGCTGATGGTCCCTGCCATTCTGTGCCCTTGTTTAACCTGCCTTAAGAGGCACCTCAAGGGTGCCAGATCCCTGCCTGTAGGTACACCACTTCCTCTCTCTTTCAACTTGCAGACCCCTGAGGTCTTTCTGTCGCAGAGATTTCATCACCTCATTTCCTGTCAAGTCCTTGAAAGAAATTTTCAGTTCTTGCTTCTCTGGTTTGGGCCTAAAGCTGGCACCCCTCACTCCCGACCCTTTGGGGTTTCTGGAGTGCTGGGAGCGCTCTGGCCGAGGATGCTCACTGCCAGAGTCCACGCGAGACAGAAATTACACAGCGCCTTCCGAACTTCACCTTTGCAGGCTGAATGCTACGGACATGTCATATAAAAGACGTTTCTGTCTCTGAATGCAAAAGTCCTATTTCCCCCCGCCCCGTGCAGAACTTAGAAAATAGAGTAAAGTAGGAAGAAAATAAACAAAAGTCACCTGTAACCTCTTCCCCCCACCAAAAAGTGCAGAAGTGCAGGTCACATTTTGGAGTGAGTTCTTCACCTATTTTTTTTTTTTTTAAGTGTAGTTAATTTTTCCCTCTCTCTCTTAAGCATGGGGTTAAAATGACAGGAACTTGGCCCTTCCTAGTGGCGCAGCGGGTTAAAGCACAACATTGAGAAGCTGAGGCCACTTCAACATGAGTTCAATCCCCGCCCCGGAGCTGATCCATATGGCGTGGCAGACCTCTCCTGTCTCCCTGCTGCTCCCCTCAGTATGGTACTTCATCGATCTGCCTGTTCTGCTCCCCACTCTGTCTCTGGTGAATCCTCTTGCCACCTCTGCAGCCCAGTTCTGTATGCATAAATAAATAAATCTTTAAAAAAATAACAGGAGCTTTGTTTTTTAAATTAGTTTTTCAAGGGACAGTGGAAGTCAGCGTGACAAAATATTGACATAATTGGTGGGGCTGGGGGTTTTCAGTGTAGCCTGAGTATGTCACTGACACTGATGAGAGAAATTTATCTGTATGTTTACGTGACGCCCCAGATCACACCTCCACACGAACTCTCGACAGCTGTCTGTCACTTCTTATGGTTGCACTGAGCCTTCCCTTTTGGGGTGACTGTTTAACGAAAATAAACAGCAGCCATGGAGTAAGGAAATTCTTTTCCCCTTTTCCCATTAGTACCAAAACTGTGAGAACATCCTGTAGTCCTCTGATCTCTCTCGTAGAAATTTCTAGAAGTGAGGGCATGTCACTTGAAGCCTTTTCGGGGTTCTTTATTGAACCCTAACATACAGTGAACCAAGGTCCCCTAAGCTGCCTCTTGGAATGAATCTGGCCTTCCTCTTCTTTGAGGGTGTTTAAATGAGGGGCCACCCACTGCGGAGGGAGGCCTCCTGGGTGGGGAGATAGGTTGAGGTTAGTTAGCATCTGTCATCAGTTCCTCAGACTGAGTATGGAGACTTGAAGAAATACAATAAAACCCTTGGGAGCCTGTGGGAGCTCACACGGGGCGGTGGGTGGCGAGTCACTCAGACCAGCCGCCAGGGACCCAGGAACGCCGAACAGGGCAGGTCCTCCGCCGGACCCCACAGGTCACTGGAACGTGGCTGGCACAAACGTTTGTCCCACCGGGTATGGGCCTGGGGAGCTACCTCTGCCTCTGGCATTGGCCACTCCTGGCTGTGGAGCAGGGTGGGTGTGACTACCGGCCGGGGCAGTTCTCCAGAGGACATATCAGCTGGGAGTGGCCGACACTTGCATCGTGGGGACAGGTGCCCCAGCTAGAAAGGAGGCTTTGGGGGGCCGGCGGGAGGACCTGGTTGGTCCGGGGGTGTTTGGTCGGCTTCTTCGAGGTTTTTTGGGGAGGGGGGGGGGGGGGGGCCCACCTGACGTGCAGCATCTCCAGCGTCCGGCACGCGCTTACTGCCCGCAGCACGCGGGGCAGGCCGGCCACAGACAGCCCGTTGTTGCTGAGGCTGTGGAGAGGAGGAGGGAGGGAGGCATCAGCTTGGGATGACACCCCCAGTCCCAGGCAGCCCCAGCCGCTCCTCCTGGCGCTCTTGGGATGTCCTGGGTCCTTACCCAGAGGGTCTCAGAGACTCTGGCCCTTGTGTATGAGCCAAGGGGCAAGTGACATTCAGAGGTCAGGGATCCCCAGAGGGAGCGTCAGGGCCCCACCCCCTATGCTTGCCCCTGGGAGCCTCAGTTCTTGGCAGGTAGAACAAAGCCCATTTAATTCCACTTTACACAAGGGGAAACTGAGGCCCAGGGACACTAAGTTCCTTTCCTGGGCTCACCAAGCCACCGAGTGACAAAGCCAGCCCGGAAAGCCAGAGCTGCAAACCGGCGGCCCACCCACCCTTGGTTCAGGGACACCGCTGCTCACCCACCCCACGCAGACCACAGCCCACCCAGCTTCCTCCAAACACCATCGCAGCCACTCACTCCTGCCCCCAACACGCAGCAACCAATACACCACTTCTCATTGCCTATAATCCACCAGCACCCCAGAACTGATCCACCCAGCACCCCAATGTCGCTCTGATGCAACACCTGCCCATCTCAGGGCCGTCATAAGGACCATCTGGGATAGAGGCCACTGGCCACAGGAGTGTGTTCTGCACACACAGGGCAATGTCAGGCCTGGCAGACCCCCTCGCCCTCCTCTAGGGCTGGAGGAAGTCGGGGTGTTTGGGCCTGACTGTGGCCATGGGCCTGGGGGCCAGGGTGGCAGGGCTCCCCACAGCAGGTGGGCTACTCACTCCAGTTTCAGCTTCCTGGTGATGGGAAGCTGGGCCACAGCCTCTGCTATCAGCCGGCAGCCTTCATCTTCCAGCGTGTTCCCTGAGAGGCTGACACAGAGGCGCCTGTTACCCTGCAGCAAGGGTGGGGTCCCCCCTCGCTGACTTTAGTCACAGCATCCCTAATCAATGGCCTGACTGACAGGGAATTTTGGGAGACTGTGCACGTGCCTGGCTCTGCCCTAGGACCTTCTGTCATCAGTGGCCAGCCCCCTGAAGAAGTGGGCTCTGTTAATATTCTCACCACACTGTGAGTGCAGAGGGTTTATGGGCCCTTGCTCACAGGTGAGCCTGGGGTTTGAACCCAGGCAGCTGACTCCAAAGCTCCACCCTCAACTTTCTCTGTGTGGGGAAACCTGTATCATTGCATCTTATGCTTGTAGGGGATCTGATCTCTTTAGGGGTCTGGGAAGTCTTTGCTGATGTTTGAGCTACTTGCTAGAAACACTAGGTGTTTAATGGGTAAAGGGTGGGAGAATGATAGGGGTCAGGTGTTGGTGGTAGTCAGAATAGCACGTTCAAAGGCCCTGTGGCACAGTGTACTTGAGGACCTGAAAGGAAGCCTGTTGCCTGGACTGAGTACGAGAGTAGGTCAGTTGAGATTAAGGGGTTGGGGTCAGGGTTCTGGATCACAAGATATTTTGGGATTAAGGCTTTACCCTGAGCAGTGGGAAGTCATGGGTAGGGCAGGCAGCATTGAAACGCCATTCATGCTCTGCCAGGGGAGGTGGGCAGTGTGCAAACAGGGAACCCCACGAGGAAGCTGAGAGATGAGAGTGTGTTGGATTAGAGAGGGATGAAAAGAGGAGAGAGAAAAGAAAATGGCTGTGAGAGCAACCTAGGATGGACTGGCTGTGGGGGAAAGGCGAGGGGGCGGAGAGGTGGCTGGGCTGTGTAACTAGGGGGTGACAGGCCTTTACAGCAGGTAAGAGCACTGGCGTGGTAGGGGTGAAGTAGGTGGATATGAGTTTGGTAAAAAAAAATCTACCTTTTCATCCTGTCTTGGTTCTCCCAATGGGACAGGTCAAGGCTCAAGCTTTGGACACTAACTAAGGCAGCTCTCTCCCTGCCCATCTCATCCTGGAGGGGAGCCCCGCATCTCCGAATGCATCATGACAATCTCTCACTCCACCTTCATGCCCATTGGATGCCCTGGGAGGGTCCTGGCAAGGCTCCCCTCCTAGTGACACAGCGGCACCCCACCAGCCCCCACGCCTGACTCAAACACTCTGCCCTGAAGATGGACATCGTGGGCCTTTCTCTAGTCCGAAGAGGAGGTCGATCCAGTCCATTCTAGGAGCAAGACTGAGGCCTGGAAGCATGGAGCTTCTGCTTTGCAGATCCCAGGGACAGGGTTACCAGGGGGAGGCCAGGAGTCAGACAATCTGAGCTTGGTCTCTGGCCTGGACTCTTCCCAGCTGTGTTATCTTGAGCAAATTTACCTTTCTGCGGCTCAACTTCCCCCTCTGTAGAATGTGCAGTGATAGCATCCACATGATAGAGGAGAATGAAATGAGGGGATGTTTGCAAGCCAGTTCACGGCAAGTGCTAACTACTGGTGACCCCTCCCCAACTCCTAATGGGGCAGCATGCCTCTTCCCCGCACCCCAAGAGAGGTGCCCCCCACGCCGCCCTCCCTCTCCATCCCAGCCTTCCCCACGGTACTTACTCCACTTCCTCCAGGTGGGGGCCTCCCTGGAGCTGTGCTATGAGCACCTTCATATCATGGAGTGTGAGATGACACTCTTGGAGACTGGGGGAAGGGGGGAAGGGACTCAGGGCTGGACGTTCCACCACTCCTCTAGCTCCGAGTGCCCTGCCAGGAGTGGGGCTGAGGGAGCCAGGGAGGACAGACCTGGGTTTAATCCTGGCCTTGGTCTCAGTAGCTGGCTGATCTTGGGCAAGGTATTTAAGCTATATAGACTCACTCTCCTCCTTTGTCAATGGGAATAACAATGTGCATATCACAGGGCTTTCGAGAGGATCAAAGAAGGTAACAGCACAGAGCCCAGCATGGAGCAAGGAGCCATTCAATATTTTTGTTATAACAGATGTTCCTTGTTCAGGACCAGATGGCTTATTCGTGTCCTTTCCTACATCTTCTCCGCGTCTGCTTTCCTCTACCTTCCCCGCCCATGCTATCCCTCCCTTGGGAAAGGACTCTCCCTCCATCTCATGTCCCCCCCTTGCAGCAATGGGTACCTGAGGGCCAAGCTTCTGTTCTGAGTCTCTTTCTTCTGGCTGGCATTTCCCTGCAGGTTTGGGACTCTGGCAAGAACAAATCAAACACTGGCTTAGGCTCACGAGTATAGGGCTTGATGAACCAAACCCAGAGTCTTCCAGGGGCCGAGGATCCCGAGGATCCTGAGTGCGACCCACATATTCATTTGTTAATGAGTGGCAAAAACAGTTGCTTGCCAGAGCTGACAGAACTGTGCAGGAACAACAGGTTTGAGGTCAAGTAGAACCTTATTCAAATTCTGGCTGTGGGCAAATCACCTTGCCCTTCCGAGCCTCCACTTTCTCTTTTCTGGAATGGGATGGTGATGTGCAACATTTGGCATGACTGAAGGGTTGAATGAAATGATTGAAAGCACGAAAGAAGCTCTGTTCTCTAAGCCACAATGTCTCCATTTGGAGCTGTGTCACCTCTGGCTCATAATGCTGGGAGCTCAGTATGTGGGTCCAGCTGTGGGAAGTAACCACACCTCAGGTGCCACCCTGGGCTGGGGAGAGCTAGGGGTCGAGGGAAAGTGGAACATTATGAGCCACAGACCCCAGGGCCACAGGTCGGCCCTGTTCGGCAGAACCTCTAGCCACCCCGGGGCCATGTAGCATCTGAAATGTGGCTAATGTGACTGATGAGCTGAAATGTTCATTTTACTTAATTTTAATTGATCTAAGTTTAAATAGTCACATGTGGCCAGTGGCTACTGAAGTCACCATGATGGTTCTGGACAGAGAGGAAAAAGTCATGGTCCAGTATACTGGGCCATTGTATGAGTGAGGAAATTGAGGCTGAGAGGAGGAAAAAGACTCACAACACCATTGCTGTCTGAGTCTCAGCCATGACTGGGAGAGGCACATTAGAGCTGCACCTTCGAGCAAGGCAGCTTCCCTTTCTTCACTGGGCCAGGACTGGCAAAGATGGAATCCATGCAGAGTTAGAACAGCCAACATTTGAGTGCTAACTGGGCACCAGCAGTGTTCTAAGCATTTTTAGTGTATTAGCTCTTTTAATTCTGGTACCATTTGTAGGCACCAACTGTTTTCCCTTTTTGTAAGTTAGAAGAATTCTCCAAGAGCTTCCTCCAAGCAATGATATCAGTCAACAGTATCTTCACAAACTTCCTCAGGTTCTGATTCATGCTGAGGTTTCTGGAGATGCTGTCTCACCACAGGGGCCAGATGTGGCCCAGATACACTAGAGGAAGCAAATCCTTTGAGAACTTGGAGACGTAACTCATTCCTTAGGGTAGAAGTAACAAGAATCCCCATGTTCCAGCCCTGCCTAGGCACTCTTGGTCATCTCTACCCCACAGCTATTGAGCCTAGATCACTTCTCAAGATGAGGCAATGCCCACCCCCCTCCCCGCATCTTACCCTTGCAGATCTGCTGCTGGCAGTGGTGAGAGCAAGAAGACGACATCCACCTTACTGCGGGAACAGACATGGAGTCATGAGACCTATGAACTGGGAACCCCACACCTGTGCACCTCTTGCTGCCCGACTATCCAGAGAAGGCTGATTTTATAACTGACACAGAAAAAACAGATTTGGCAAAACAGTTCAAAAATTGAGACTGTGCTGTTATTGCTTGATGGGTTCTGAGTGTTTTTAAAAGCAAGGAAAACAACTTTTTCAAGGGAGATGATAAAAATAAGGAAGACTTGGGCTCTCCCTGGTGGCACAACGGGCTAAAGCACCACATTATGGAGCTCTCCAAAGCCACTGCAGCACCAGTTCAATCCCTGGCCAGGGAGCTGACCCACATGGAGTGGCAGACCGCTCCTGACCCGCCCACTGCAAAAAAAAATAATAATAATAAGAAAGACTTAAAGTTCTTTATCGCGTCTCCATGCTTTCGGATTAAGAAAGAGGTAAATAAAGCACCTAACCTACCCGGTGACCCACACAGGGAACGCTAGTTCAGCACCACGGACAGCGACTCGCGGTCCTTGGCTATTGCTTGTGCTTCCTAGGCTTGATTCATTCCTTTACCCATCCACCTGTCCTACCGTTTATTCACCCGTCCACCTTTTTTTTCTTTATATAACAGTTTATTTTTACATCATTTTGTACATTTTTTTTCTATCTCAATTGTAATCCCCGCGGGTTTCCCATCACCAAGTCACCCGTCTGCCATAATCCCGTGCATTCCCCCCCCCCC